TGTTTGACCAATGGGTGCCAATTGCGAGAATTGCCTGAGTTTTCTCGTCGCGTGGCAGGGTCGCATGATTTCTCAACCGGACGGTGGCAGCAGCGACCACGGTGTAACGAGCTCCGATCCCTACGTTGTCAGAATAAGTGACACAGAGTTCGCGATGACATGTGTGCCCCGCCATACGACCAGACCTGACCTGACCTGGCCTGACCTGACCACCTGCCTGCAGGCGTCGCGTCAGCTGGGCGAGACGGGCAGCGTGGACGTGGAGATGGAGGCTATCCTGCTGGAGCACGGGGTGGACACGCGCGAGTTCGGGCCGCAGGACCTGGAGGGCCTGCCGACGGCGCCCTGGACCATCCCGGCCGAGGAGGTGGCCCGGCGTCGCGACCTTAGGTCAGCAGAGGCCCCGGGTCGGGGCCGCCGCCGGGCAGGCTGGGACTGACCAGCCGGGCTGAGGCACAGTGTCGGACTGGGCGTGTCCGGACAGGGCGCTCGTATTGTGATGGCAAGTAGGCAAGCCCCGTGTGGTATCTGTCACACTGTGTGCGCTTTGTGGTGATAATGATCACCGCAAAGAACATCTGTCGACGCACGACATTGTCGAGTATTGTCGGGTTATATACATCACGACATTGTCGGGGTCGTCGTGCCCTGGTGGCGGTGCGAGACACTGCAAGACCCGTGGTTGGCTCGTCTGGACGCGCCGCGCCACGTGTGACACGAGCTCCGGCCTGACGCCAGGGCCGAGTGCGTCTTCACCATCGACCCGCTGACGGCGCGACCTGGACGACGCCGTCTCGTGCCGCCGGCTCGACTCGGGCCAGTTCGAGGTGGGCGTGCACATCGCCGACGTCAGCTACTTTCTGCGCCAGGGCGTGCCGGCCGACCTGACGGCCGCCGAGCGCTGCAACTCGGTCTACCTCGTTCACAAGGTGAGCGCCGCGCCGCCGCTCTGGCCGAGGCGGCCCCTGAGGACGCTGCAGCGGGCGGCCGGCCCAGACGCCGTCTCGGACGGCCGCGGTGCCGTCCGTGGCGTCCGCTTCGTTGAACTGCTTGTGGGCTCTTCTTTTCCGTCAGCCACAAACCTGCTGCGGATAATTTTTAGTTTGAAGTCGTGTCTTTTGTACACCTTTTATTCGTGGGCGTAGAACACTGACTCGGTGATGCACGCAGTGGCGTTGTCGCCCGTCGGCGGAGGTCGGCGGGGTGTCAAGCGGTGACGTTCGTCTGGTGCCCAGGTGATCCCGATGTTGCCGAGGCTGCTCTGCGAGGACTTGTGTTCGCTGAACCCGGCGCAGGACCGGCTGGCCTTCTCCGCCATGTGGACGCTGGACAGCGAGGGCCGCGTCTTCGACGAGTGGTTCGGCAGGACCGTCATCCGCTCGTGCACCAAGATGGCGTACGAGCACGCGCAGGTTAGCCCGCAGCTGCTCACGCATGACTTTACAGGCGTTTTGGGTTGTTTCAGCGTTTTACGCTCGGAACCCTACGAAACCAGCACACATGAGCATAGCTCTGACCGACGGCTTGTATCTTGTGAGCGGTTTAGCCGGTATGCGTGCGGACCTGCTCGTGACGTCGGTGCGACGTGCATTCATGTGGAACGTGGTGCTCATCGCTACGGATGCGTCTTGAATCTGGGATTCGAGTCCGTGCCACAGGCATTTAGTGTTCATCCGGTTATCCAAAGTGTGAGGTTGTTGGCAGAATGGCCTGGAATGATGGGTGCGTCGAAGCACGGTTCAGCATTCCTACAAACAAGATGGCGGATGGGGCGAGGACTGGCGCGCACGAGTGATGAGGCCGCGGGAGGTCGGGGTTGGACGGTTTTTACCGCCACTTTGATTATGCGCGAATGCTGATGTTGGGCTGTGTTGGGTGATCAATCGCAGACGTGTCGTTAATTTCCTTTCTGATGATCGAGGCACGTTACAATGTCCGTGGTTGTTCGCGAAGAGGGGATGAAATAAATCGAAAATGAATAGCAGGCTGGCTTGAGTAAGTAAATCGACGTTTCAAATTCAGGTGTTAAATCATCTGAACCGGTGCGGGCGGAAGATTCGGTATATCTTAAGAGGCAGGAAGGATGTGGCTGAGTCTTGTCGTCCCGCCAAGACAAGCGTGCTCATACTTGACATCCCGAAAAGTCCCTCAAACGTGATCTCTTGATCGATCGTAACTGGCGTGTGTAGGCATCATTAGGAATGTCGAGTGTCTTACGAGCCTCGTGTCACCGATAGATTTCAGGCTTGTGTACCCTGGGATATCCGCAGCCATTTTTATGACGTCGTAACCACCAAACGGACGACCCAAAGCGTGCAGACACTGCCGCCGTTCAAGGGATGATAAATAAACCGGTGGGACAGATGGACTTAAGCCCATCGATGCGTTCCCGAAAGTCCGGGGATAAACCCCATCGGACCTCGCGCCATCGGGCGTCGAGTCTCCTGATTACCCCCGCGCAGCCGCGCGACGTCACCCGACCGGCGGGGTGACTTCACGAGGGGGGGGGGGGGGGGGGGGGGGGGGGGGGTGCTCCGCGCACCGGTTCGGAGCCGAGCCGCCGCGGCGTCTCCCGCCCGGCGGCCGCCTCCGCCCCAGCTGATCTGACCGTTCCCGCTTCTCCGTCGACAGGGATCATCGACGAGCCGGAGCGGGCCGCCGGCGGCCGAGGAGCTTGCCGCCGATCGACGGCGCTGGACGGCCGAGGACGTGCGGCACGCGTGCTCACGCTCCACCGCATGGCCCAGTGAGTGGCGCGTAGAGCCGGACCGGGCCCAGGCAACTCGGGATGAGGAGGCTTTGACGCGATTGCGATTTGTAATCTTGTGTTTGGAAGCATCAAATCGACGTATGAACTGTAATCACATTGGCTGTTTCCACTTGTTTCCGCGCTGGTTTTCCAGCGCAGTGTTGAGTGATGATGGCTGTGACGTGGTTTTGCAGTGAAATCTTGGGATGTGCCATTGGGCACGTGTTGTAAGTGTTGCAGTCTCCTCTCACCAACTGCGGGAGCGGCCAAAGCACCAGCGGACGGTGTCGAACGCCTGACCGCAATGTCATGGAAACGACTTTTGTTCTGCTGAGGCCCGTCTGTCCCGTTGTCGCTGAGCTGGCCGCCGGGTTGAGCTAGCCTGCTCAAGCCCAGCTTGTCGGCCGCGGCGGCCCGTGTGAACCGCGGGTCCGTCTCTGCCAGCCAGCGGACCCGCGAGTCCTGCGCCCGCCAGGTGCATGCGCCAGCGTCGCGTCGACGATGGCGGCCCTGCGACTGGACCAGCCCAAGTTGTGCTTCGCGCTGGACGGTCCCAACGGCGCGCCCCACCGGCCTTCTACACGTACCACCAGCAGGAGAGCAACCGGTGCGTGGGAGGGGTCGCCGAGTGACGCCAGCCGCGGCTGAGGCTGGGCCTCTCAGGCATGCTGACGGCTGTATGTGTCCTCGTCGGGGATGTTGGGGTGAGGTGGCCTGGGGACCAGGGGTCGCGGCGGATTCCGACAGCGCGCCGGCTGATCTCCGGTGGGAGTTGTTGGACGCGTCGGCCGTTTGGAGATGGGTGGCGCGTTACGGTGGGCGCCGCGCTCGGTGGCCGTGCTCAGACCGACCGGTCACCTTAATGTCCTTACCGTCGTCACCATCGCCACTGCTGTCGCGTGGCGATCGCATTTGATTTCCCAGCGCCGTAAACTATTCGTTGTCCCGACGGTCGGCCTGTAACCGAAGAACGCCGCACACGGTCACATAAACTGAGCCTGCGACGGCCTGATCCCCGCCGGTCAGCGCGCTTGCGGCGCCTGCAGCCGCTGGGCGCCGCCGCTCGCCACTAACGCACCGTCCCCTGTCCCGTCAGATCTGTATCTAGGAGTTCATGCTGCTGGCCAACATGGCGGTGGCGCGGCGCGTGCTCCGCTCGTCCCGTCGCTGGCCGTGCTGCGCCGCCACGCGCCGCCGCAAGAGGGCCCGCTGGCGGACGCCGCTCGCCTCCTCCGCAGCATGGGGCTCGAGGTGAGCGGAGACGGGACGGGACTGCGTCCGAGGAGCGTGGTGCGGAAACGCCGTGGTGCCGTTGGGTACGAGAAAAGCGAGTCCACAGGAGTAGTGCGAGCGTTTGATTGGTCCTCGCATGGTGTCTTGTTTCTTGCCAATGCCTGCCTATATCGTATGTCCGGTGACAGATGATGATGAGAGCTCAGAAGAAGCCGCGACCGCAGCTGCCTGTCTTGCCGATTTCTTTGGGGAGGGGAGGTCCATCGTGACATAGCGGATTCCTCCGTGGCTCTCCTCGTTCGCCACGTCTCTCCACTGGGTTGTCCGGAGCCGGCTGTGCCTGCGCGAGCGCGAGTGCCGCCGCCGTCCACCGCACTCCCGCCGCCCGACAGATGGACGTGGCGTCGAGCGGCTCCGTGCACGACTCGCTGCAGGCAATGGCCGCCAGGTGGCAGCAGGAGCTGACCCCGGACGAGGCACGATCCCGCATGGCCGTCGTCGTCAACCTCTCAGCAAGCCGATGAACGTGAGCGAGCCGTCCGCAGGGGTAGGGGGTAGTTGTGGATCAGCGCTGGCGCGGCTGTTGCTAGGAGGGAGCCTCACTGACTGGTGTTTATGGCTGGTCCTGCGAGGTGCAGCGACGGCCACGGCGTCGCTGCAGGCCGTGTTCCATTTCATGCGGCTTCCATTGTACCGACTGCAGTAAGCAGCAATGAACGTTGACCGTGAAGCAACACTGCGAGGCGGGACCATGCCAGTGATATGACGCGGTCGGAGTGGTGTGATCATTCAGATGGAGGCATGCCGCATGATCGCTGATTTCAATAGGCCTGTGACACTGGACCAGGTGGGCTATGCCTATTTTGACGATAGCACGGTTGGCGACGGCCAGCGCCTTATATCGGCCCGGCCGACCCGTCTCCCTTGCCGTTTCGCCGCGGTACTCTGCGGTCAGTAACGCCGCTGGCGCGGACCGACAGGCCGCCGAGTACTTCTGTTCGGGTGTGCTGACGCAGCCGGAGCAGTACCGGCACTACGCGCTGAGCGTGCCGCTCTACACGCACTTCACGTCGCCGATCCGCCGCTACCCGGACGTGCTCGTGCACCGGCTGCTGGCCGCCGCGCTGCAGTACGACCGGCCGGCGCCGCTGCCGCCGCCGCTGGTGCAGAGGTGAGGCGACGGCGCCAACCCCGCCCCTGCCGCCGCGCCGCCCCGGCCGCCGCCCCCGCCCCGTCGCCGTCGCCGTCGCCGTCGCCCGGTTTCCAGGGCTGGCGGCGCGGCGGCACGCTGCGGTGCCCTGCTGTTTCGGTGTCGGTCTTTGCCTCTAAAATCTACCACGTTCGGATGGGCAGACGTTGGTTTTGACCGAGCATTTGCGTGATACATGCACCCGCAACATACCGTAGCACATGCGCACACGTCGCATGCTCCCTGTGAAAGATCGAGCGGGATTGGCCACAATATCGATTCCAAACGTGCCTGTATTGGCACATTCCGGGTGTGTATGCCTTGTCACTAGCGCCCGCCCCCCCCCTCCCGAATTTCGGTCCGCCGGGCGGCCGGATCTGCTTCCATGGGCGGACCCTGACCGTGACGTGGTGGCGTTCTGGCCGTGGACAGAACGTGTTTCTGGCCGTGACAAGACGTGGGCGTTCTGGCCGTGAACGAGACGTGTTCTGGCCGTGACAAGACGTGGCGTTCTGGCCCGTGACGGGACTGGTGCTCTGGCCGTTGACGAGAGGTGGTGTTCTGGCCGGGACGGGGACGTGGCGTTCTGGCCGTGACGAGACGTGGTGTTCGTGGCCGTGGGGACGAGACGTGTTGCCTGTGGCCGTGACAAGACGGTGTTGGTGCTCTCTGGCCGTTGACGCGTGGCGCTCCCCCGGTCGCCAGGATCTGCCGTGCGCTGTAACGAGCGCAAGGCTGGTCTGCCCTGCTGTGTTCGGAGGCGTGCTGCGTCTGCTGTTCCTGGCGCACATGGGTGGACCTGTGCGGCCCTATCCGCCAGCAGGCCGTCGTCATGGCCGTGCTCGACAAGAGCTTCGACGTGTTCATCACCGAGATGGCCGTCTCACGGCGCGTCTACATCGACGTAAGTGCGCCGCTCGACGGCTCGGCTCGCTTCTCGTGGCTGTTTTAGTTTGGTCCTACTGTAGGAAAGCAGCTGAGCTTTGCGTGATGTGTTCCGCAGCCCCGATATAGCTCTCCTCTTCGCCCCCTCCGCAGAAGCTGGACGTGGAGTCTCTGGAGTTCACGAAGGCGGGCGGCGTGCCACGGCTGCGGCCTGGTCTGGCGGCGCTACCGACAACCGAGCCGGCCTGCAGTCAGCTGATTGAGCTGTTCTCGCGCGTGCACGTCACCCTGGAGCGGACGGACATGCCGCTGAAGTTCAGCACGGTGGCGCTGCGGCCCGGAGCGGAGCTGGAGCCGGAGCCGGGAGCCGGAGGCGTGAGATTCCAGCGCCGTCTCGCTGAGATCTGTGGCGGACCTGGCGCTGTGGTGGTGCTCAGTGCCGTGCTGGAGGAGGCCCAGGCTCAGTACCGCGCCACCGTGATTGCCGATGGAGGTGGAGCTGGAGGCGGTAGCCTGGCGCGAACTTCAGCACCGTGGTGTGGCTGGACGAGGCTCAGGCTCAGCAGGATGGTGTCGAAGCCGGGGGGCGGAGCTGGCGCTGGGGGGCGGGGCGCTTTTGTGAGGTTCGGATGCAGCGCCAGCGCCAGGTGAGGCAGGCAGATGCTGGAGCAAACTCGGTGTCTGCCTGCCACGCTCAGATCGGGGCGGAGCGGAGCGTAGCTGGTGAAGGTTAGGTTAGGTTAGGCCTCCCAGCCGGAAACGCTGAGACCGGGAGCCGTGCTGAAGTCATGACGGGGTGGGGCCGGGCGCTGCCTGCGGTCGGTGGCGCCGGCTGAGGGGAAGAATGGGTGGTGGCGGCGTGAAGGGTGCCTGATGGAGAAGAGGGTTTGGTGATGGTGCGAAGTGGTCTGACATGCCAGGGAGTCTTGGAAAGCCGAGGGCGCGTCTCCGGGTCCAGCCAAGGGCTAGTCGAGAGAGGGGCTGGCTGTACGAGAGAGAGAGAGGGAGAGAGAGAGAGAGAGAGAGAGATAGAGAGAGAGAGAGAAGGAGAGAGAAGAGAGAGAGAGAGAGATAGAGCGAGGAGAGATAGAGAGAGAGAGAGTAGAGAGAGAGCGAGAGAGAGAGAGAGAGAGAGCGAGGGGTCGAAGCCGGACGTGCGCTAGTGGCCGCCTGTGATGGGTGTGTCATGTGTCTGCTGTGGCGAGGACAGTGTTCATGTTAGTGGTGCTTTTTGCGACTAAAGCGGTCAGCTAGCACATTGTTTTTTGGCACTTGCATGACTTCTTTAATTGCCTGTAACGTGTTTGTCTCGGCTGACATGTTCTTAATTTTATCGGTCGATTGAACTAGGCTGCTTAAATGCACTCATAGATTAAAGGCTTTTCGGCCCCCGCGCGGTGGTGGTGGAACTATTTGCTTCATGCGATTCTCCGCTTCTGTATAATTCGTATAATTAAATTCAGTGCATCTTTATGCGGCTTCGGAGTATTTCGAGACGTCTCAAAATGTGTCGAATATGGTCCAGCTTGTATTTTGGACTGTCCCGCTTCCTTAGTTGCGCTTGTGTGCATTAGTTACGCGTGTGACTAGCTTACGGGGAGACATCGATGCAAACTGACTCGCACTCGTTTGGTGACGTCATTGGCCCATGCAGGGCCTGTCCCTCCGCCCCCCCTGCGCCGTAGATTTGCGTGCCTGCGTGCTGACCGGCGCCGGGACGGGCCGGGCCGCCCGCCCGTGTGACGGCGGGACGTGGGGGGTCGTGACCATCCGCTGCACGGCGCCAGTCGTCGGCAAGCGTGCCATGTCGGCGCCAGTCGTCGGCAAGCGTGCCATGTCGGCGCCAGTCGTCGGCAGGCGTGCCATGTCGGCGCCAGTCGTCGGCAGGTGTGCCATGTCGGCGCCGCGGTCGGGCTTTTACTTAATACACCAATTTAAGTCCAGCTGTGTGTGTGTGTGCGGGCTTGAGAGGAGGTGACGGACCTGTGCGTGACGTGACGCGGATGGATGACCTCTTCCCGGCGGTCCAGGGGGCGGCTACTGTCAGAATAGTACTTCCAACTGACACTGCCAAAAAATGTTCAAGGCCTTTCTTGCTTATGTTACATGAAAATGCATCATTGACTATCCAGTCGATGAGGTTCTGGATGTGCAAATGCAGTGTCAGCTACTGGGTGAGTTACGCCGGGCGGTGTGCATGGAAATGAAATGGCAGTCGGCAGATGTTTGTCATGGTGTGCTGCAGCTGCTTGCACTTTGCAACAAGTGGGAGCTGTACAGCTGAATTGGATACGTGCCGATGGTTGCCTGCCGCTCACGTAAATGGCGTGATAAATTTGCCGCTGCAAGGCTCTACGTAGTTTTCACCCGGGGCGGGCAGGGCAACTGACAAATGCAGCGCGGGGTGAAACAGCAGTGGCCTTTACTTGTGGACTGCGCCCGGCCGTTGCTCAACGCTAGTGAAGGGCGGAATATATCAGCCTAGATGGACGCTCCGCGGGCGGCAATAAAAGGTGTGGCATGCCTACTTGAGACCGCGCGCAGCAGGTAAATGGCGATAGCCGCAGGCTGACAGAGTTTGTAAGGCCGAAAAAGGCGAGTGTTTGGAGCTTTGAAAGCATTTTGCAGACAGGCTTCCCCCGCGAGAGCAGCTGCGCGCCGTCAAGAGACCCTCGCTGCACCCCTGGCGCGGTGTTACCGCACTGGGACCACCCGTTTGCTAATACGAGCTGGTTTATTTGGCTGGCCGTCAGCGCGTTGAGTCAGTCCTGACTGGGCGTGTTTCCGGCTGGTGACGTGGCCCAGCCCAGGCTTCTGCGGTCCCCAGAGCGAGTTATCGTAACGCCGCTCATGTCGCGGCCGGCTCTGGTTCGCAGGGGGTCGCAGGCTGATGCGTGTCACGTGACATGCCCGCAGCTTTGGTTTACGCCACAAGGTGCAGTCGACACCAGCGTTCGTTATCTGGTTCGGGCAGACGCGAACTAGACACCGGTGTTGCAGGCTAACGCACGATCTGTTTGGGGAAACAGAAATTCTGACATGCTTGAGCGAGCGACAGCCAGTTTAGGATAATGCCGTGCCTGCGATGGCCACCTTTTTATTTAAATTAAGAGGGCCAAGGTTGACCCCATAAAATTGCTGCGTTCAACAGCCCTCCACAAAAACCCACACCTCATGATCTTACTAGATACGTCCTGCTGCATTGCGCCAAAGCTCCCACTCGTTTGTGTGCTCCCTTAGATCGTCAAAGATGCACGCTTACTATCGACAGAAAGCGTGTACATTTGTCCTTAGAACCAGAGACGAATTGGTGAGGGACCGGTCATCCTGTGGTTCGAATCGTGTTAGATGCTGGTTGATACCCCGGCAGCCATCATCACATTTCGATGCTGCCGATCTATCGTTGATCGCTTTGCCTGATCAATATCTCCAAACGTGACGGTGCTGCAAATCTCACGATTTTGCAGACCCGAGGTGTTCCTGCAACGCGCAGCGAGATGGATGCGATTGGTTGATGTTTGTATCGTAGCTTGTGAATTATTTTGTTTTCATAACAGTGCTTCACCTTGCGTACGATCAGAGGCGCGGATTCGCAAAGTGAGTTGGGAGGCTGAACCGTGGATAATTATCAAATCTACCCCAAAAATTTGCCAGCAGATAGGTTTCTTCCAGGATCCGGCCTACTTTTTTCTCTAAGAAGGGAGACTGGATCGCAAGCTGGGATGGGGACCCCCTCCGTCCCCAACTGAATGGGGAAGTACAGCACAGCGAATGCTAATGCTAATGATACACACCAATGATAATCATAACATGCCTAACGTTTCATAGTCATTTCATACTTCACGGTCACCGTTTAAAAAGTCTTTCAAGGGGATCAAAATACTTCAATGTGAAATATTTGTTAAGTCATATTCTACTTAATTTCCATGCATTCCCAACCAGATTTAAATGGCTTATGCGGCTGTTAACTTTGGGAAAGAGGACTTGATGAGAACGGCAACCAGCTGCATGCCGGCCTGTACGAAGGATGGCGAGGGAATTTCTGACTCAGAACAAAATCAAAATGTATTACTTGAGTAAAGCAATCGGACACATAAGACTGGGAATACCTTTGATAGGATTTTTTCTTTTGGACAGTTGTTAGCTGCGAGTGAATTTTAATGGCGCGATTTCTACACTTGCGTTCTGGGTTTGCCCGTTCAGTGGGAAGTGCTTTATTCAGGACCGAGTGCCGTGAGACAGGGACGTGAGGACAGGGGCGTGCCGTGCCGTGAGGCTGGGACGTGAGGCAGGGACGTGAGGACAGGGGCGTGCCGTGCCGTGAGACAGGGACGTGAGGACAGGGGCGTGCCGTGCCGTGAGGCAGGGACGTGAGGACTGAAAACCAGAGCGAGCATCGCCTTGCGCTCGAATGAGTACGACTACTGAGCAACCTTCATCAGTCATCAGTTACAAATGAGATGATAAGTTGGATTATTGTCGCCAGAGGTGTCGTTGCCCCGCAGGTGCTGCCATTTCAGTCAAACACTAACCCAAAATATCAGGCTACTTGAAACAGGTGCTTACATGACCATCCGTTCGTTCTTGCAATATGTCGTCGTGTGTTGTCATGTCGCATCGGGTTATATCGAGCTTCACCGCTTGACCTCACCACGCTGACTACTTACAGAAAACACCACCACTATCCAGTATCCACCGGCGCGCGTGTGTGGTCCCTCAGGGTAACCTCAGCTGGACCTGTGCGGTTACCGCCCCCCCCCCCCCCATTCCCCCCCCCCCCCCCTGCGTGCGGTGCGGCCGTCAGCGGACGAACCCGCGGCAACAAAGGCCTCGCGCTGCGCCCCGGCCTGACAGCCCCCAGCCGTCAACGATCACATGATACGCTTGTCTTCGACTCGCCCGGCGGAACACCTGGTGGCGGCCGTTCTAACCGGCTGCGTCCGCCGGGCGACACTTGCGAGCCGGCCCCAGCGCCGCGGGTCTGGGCGGCTGGTTGGGGATCTGGGCTCGCATTCGCGTGCGCTGTTGTTGGTTCGCGTTGTCCCGTACATTTCCCGACTGTGCGTTGTCCCGTACATTTCCCGACTGTGCCTGCCTTTGCGGTGGTCATCTTCTGCCACGTTCTGGCTGTGTGCCGCGGTGGACGGAGACAGTCTCGGGTCTAGGTGGCGGGCCATCTTTGTGTCAGTGTCTGAACTGAGCACAACAAAATTATGGCTTGGACTGGCAACATCCGAAAGTAAAAGTACGTCGGCAGCCGGTGTGCGCCAGCCGGCGTTGCTTCTGTAATTCACCGGAATTCGACATGTGGGACATTTACGGAAGCGATCTACGACGACGAATATCCCGAAATATGATTTGGTTTGCATATCTGTTCTGCTATTTCACTGTTCCTAATATGCAGAATGAAATAGCACAACAGAGGCATGATATGTATTTATTATGCCTTATGGCCCCGTAATCGGCGGCTGGGAGCCACAGGCGTGTAATTTACAAGGCGTCACGGCCGGGACCGCTGGGTCTATTTTGATCTGACCCTGGCCCACTAGACATATTTCTCTATCGCTGAATTAAGATGCCTGACCCTTTTGAACAGCTCCATTAAAACACTCCATCGCTATCAAACTCTCTCATCTGTTTGACAACAGCTCACTGTTCACATGACAAACTTCCACAGCGATGAGGCGCTGACATCCTCAGAACAACGTCGACTGTTGTCGTCTCGGGACAATCTCGGGTCTTGAGCTTGTTTGTGTTGGAGCGCGGCCGGCGCGCGGGCGCGAGACCAGGCGTCAGCGCCGCGCGGCCGGCGGTCCGGCGACACCCACCGCTCCCGCAGCACCCGGCCAGACACGCGCCGTGTGGCAACCAGCTGGCCAACGGCTTAGAGGAAGCAGCACGGAAATCCGAACAGGGCAATCAAGCGTAAGCGCTCAGCACTAAAACACGGCTCGGTCATTTTAGTACGAGACAATGACACAGATCTTAAGCTGCAGTCGGTTTCAAGGCTTGGGACTTAAGTTTAGGTGTGCAAAACGCTGGTGATGCGCTTTCAATGTATTCAATGTGTATATGACTGATGCATGCTGGCGTATGACATCATTTTTTAACCGTGTCGTCGTCCAAGAAGATGTTGCCTTCAATTTAGTGTTTCTAGACACACCCCTGCAACGGTTCCGCGGCTGTGTCCTTGCAGGTCTCTACCTAATGGGTCCCGTGCATTATTTTTCCTTCTTTCTGTGTCAATACATTTTCGTCCAGTCTCCCTGGGTTCGCCTCCTGCCGGTGGGCACCCGTTGTACGTGATGGGCCGTCCGTGCTGTTCTCCTGAGTACACGTCTAGGTCCGTCCTGGGGCTCGCCGCGCGCTCGGTCCAGCTGAGCATCCATCCTCAGAGCATGCCTCTATACTAGTTTGATGGCTTCCCGTCCTCCCTTGGTCCCCCTTATCGCTCTTGCTAACTCCCCTGGCGCACCTCTGTCCCGGGGTCTTGCTACTCGCTGCACGCATTGACCGCGCTCTCTGTTACGCTGGAGCGCCTCTGGCTGGTCCGGCGGCTCGCTGTTCATTGTTGACCGTCCTCAGTCATCCCTGGGTGTGCCTCTGACCGGACCGGCGGCTCGCCGCGCCGTGTTGACGGCCCCTCATACGTGCCTGAGTGGGCCTCTGGCCGGTCCGGCGGCTCACTGTGCCTGTTGACTACCCCCCCCCCCCATACGCCCTGAGTGCGCTTCTGGCCGGGCCGGCGGCTCGTTGTACCCTGTTGACTGCCTCTCATACGCGCCTGAGTACGCCTCTGGCCGGTCCGGCGGCTCGCTGTGCCCCTGTTGACTGCCCCCCCCCCCCCATACGTGCCTGAGTGCGCCTCTGGTCGGTCTGCCAGCTCGCTGTGCCCTGTTACTGCCCTCATACGCGCCTGAGTGCGCCTCTGGCCGGTCCGGTGGCTCGCTGTGCCCTATTGACTGCCCGTCATACGTGCCTGAGTGCGCCTCTGGCCGGTCCGGCGGCTCGCTGTGCCCTCTCGGCCCGCGATTGATCGTGGCCATCACCCCAGAGTCACTGAAGCCGCCGGCCGGGAGGCGCCGCGGCGCGGTTGGCCGGCTGTCCGCAGCCCGGGCGTCCCGCCTCGCCCTCCGTCACCGGGATACTCCGAGCCAGGCGCCTCACCAGCAGACGGCCAGGCAGGCCCTCTCCTCCCGCACATGGCATTCCCTCCACTCCGCCCGATGTTCGGGCTAACGTCCGGGTCCGGTGGTAACCGCAACGTATGATGAGATTTGATTTCATCGATGCGTGAAATGCGGTGGTAATTTCGCCATCGGTCGAGGGAAACATGCACGCAGGGAGGCGCTTCATGTAAAAGCTGCTGGCCAGTTGATTTCGGGGAACGTCATACATGCAGTTTGGAAACCATCGACTCTTGCGAGTGACGAAATTTAATTGATTACAAGTTGGAATGAGGTTTATTACGTGTTTTACCGCGGGAGACTGGCACACCCTCAACTTAGTCCATAGAGTCTGGGGGTCTTTCAAAGCAAATCTTCTAAAATGGATTGTGCATGGTTATAAAGCAGTGTGAAGCCGAGCAGAACAGCCGACGCGGCACTGGGAAACGTCGCAGAGGATAAAAAGAGAGCTCGGTGGGTTTTCCGGCCTTTAAGTGAAGGACAACTAGGGCATGATCAGAGGACGAACGGAACGTCCTATATCAGTACCCGTGCATCGGTGGATCAAGGGGTTCAACTATGTCGGCCGGCATTAGCAGCTCACACACAGTCTCAGCAGGGCTAAAACGGTCCAGTTGCCGCAAAGCGCCAACAGTGCACGTGCCCAACATCAATCCGTGATTGGTTGCAAGGATAAATATGTTTCAGGTCTACAAGACGCCAAATGGTTTCCTGTGACAGCCGTAATACTCAGAGTTATTTCATAATAAAATCCACCAAAACCCATCCGCCCCAGAGACTGGTGGAGCTCACACCACGGGCGGCTGATTGTGTGGCTGCAGTGAGCTTGTCAGAGTACATTTCCGGTGACTATCCTTGCTAAAAACTACAGCTTATTGACTTTTAAACCTCTTGATATAGCCACGCATGCCACTGCCAGTGTTAATAACGCCAGGAGCCATAGAGCTGTTTGCCGCTTACAGCCAGTGAAGTGAGCGTAAAAGAGGAGTAAAATAACACGTGTAAGAGCTGACGTCGTTTAAGTTCCAGAACCAGCCTCGCTGCTTTTCTGTCTTGACGCCGAGTATATATAGTCTCCTCACCTAGTTCTTGTTCTACATCTAGCCCACCAGCTCTCATTAGTATTCTAACGCGTCATTAGGGGCAGGCTGTCACCCGTACGCCGCACGTCAGACCGGCCATCTACATTTAGGGCACCTCATGCGCTGCGCGCCTTGTCCAAACAATCCTATCCGCGTCTCCCGCATCCGCATCTTCCGCATCCGCATCTTCCGCGCCCGCATATTCCGCGTTCGCATCTTCCGCGCCCGCATCTTCCGCATCTGCATTTTCCGCATCTGCATCTTCCGCATCCGCATATTCTGCATCCGCATATTCCGCATCCGCACATTCCGCATCCGCATCTTCCGCATCCGCGTCCTCCGCATCCGCATCCTCCGCGCGCGTAACGCACTGCGTTGCGAAGAGTCCCGTTGCCTGCTTGTTTATGTTTGTTTTTTAGCTCACAATAGCTGACGTATGTTATCATGCCTGGTCGAAGTATGCGATGCAAGGTGCTCTGCCTTTGAGACATGCGATCATGCTTGTAACTATGTATGGCAGAAGAATGTTGAATGCATTATTCATCGTGCGCCGCCACGTAAAAACAAAAGTGACGTGTGGTTTGTTAACGAAGCTTGTCCAACGCAGCACATACGGCAAACGGACAATGAGTGTTCCGAACATTTCGAGACTCTCCAGGTCTGGCGCTAACAGCTGTCAGAAGGTCAGCCAAAATTGTAGTCTGATATAAAAGTAGACACCTGGACCCTGGCGTATACCGCATCGTATTGCTTATGCTTCCCACGCTTGACCTTTCTATCGTCTCTCGCTGCCGCTCGTAGGTACTGCTATTGAAGTGAATGTGGACACTTGAGTATACCGGAACAAGATCATAGATGATGAAATAAGTCCACTTATAACCTGGCATACGTTTAGGTGGGAAAGACTGCTCTAAACACCAACATTTCTCTGCTTAGTAAATATGCTCCTTAATGCGCCACTGTTTGATTTCGTCATCGTACCTTACACAATATTGATTGAGAACCAGTTGATGGCAGTTACATCTGGATATCTTGCTCACGAACGCCAGATATGAACGACTCGGTAATGATAATTTCTTGGCCTTGATTACCGAATGGCCAATGCAATGGCAGGATTTGAAGGACATCATGATATCATGGTTGCCTGGGTGACCTCGAAATAGCCTCCCAGAAAAGCTTGCGTATCTTCGCGAGCGTTTAGATCAGAAACTAGAAGGCCAGAAGGTCTTAAGAAGGGCGTTGCTGTCAACTGGACGGAAAAATGTTCAAGATGTGAACTGAACCGAATGATCTTCAAGATCAGTCTGTGCCTAGTCCGGTGCACGCGGTTTCATGGGAACCGCAGTTGACATCCTGATCCCACGGATAGTATCATGCAGTTCGCTCCTACGATACAATGCACTTGGCTGCAGCTTATTTCAGGCAGTGCAGTGCAGTGCAGCGCTCCCGCCTACAGTGACCAAGCACGTTTGGCAAGAGTCACATTACAGCCGATAAAAGCCGCAGAAATGCACGCTCCTTCCACGGCAGCGAACAAGCCGTCCGATGGAGCTGAACCGACCAAGACTTCGCCAGCCCTTAAGCTCCTTGTTTCCGTCCCGGATCAAGACTTGAATTACTTCCAGTCAGCCCAAGCAATCACTGCAAATACCCTGTTCGCGTTAAGCAAAGCCGGCAGCAGATTAGCTCGAGGGGCGGCTGGAGCACCTCCGGCCTCATTCGGCCTGCGATCGCTGAGCGGTTCCATTCATCTGGTGCCCGCTGGCGCGATCACGGGGACGCTAGGAAGGAGAGAAGGAGGAGGAGGGAGAGGAAGAGGAATAGGGATAGGAAGAGAAAGAGGAGGGGGATGAGGAGGAAGATGAGAAAGAAGAGAAAGCGGGACAGTGAGGGTCGGTTGGAGTGGGAGAGGAGAGGGGTGGAGGGAGAGAGAAGCGAGGTAGATGAACGATGGGGTCCAACACCCTCCCTCGCCTCTGCCCTCTCCACTCCCGCTCATCTTCCCTCTTTCTATCTCCCACTCACTCTTCTACCCCTTCCCTTCGTTCATCTTGATCTCCCTTGGCCTTCCCCCTGCGCTTCATCCGCTGTGAATCTCATCCGGTTTTTCGCCTGTTCAATTTTGTGACACCCTGTTTGTTGGCCGCCGAGTGACAACGGTGCTGGCAATCGCCGGCACGCCCAGAGGACGCGGCGCGGCACGTCCCGCAAGTGAGACCTGCCTGTGCCGCCGTGATCCCTGCCAACGCAGACAGTCTTCCCAGGGTCTTCAGTTTAACGCGACAGACGCCAGCTAGCCGGGGGAATCGATAGCCGCGCCGCTGCCTGACTGCCTCCTCGGCGCCATATCTCGCTGTGTAGTGAGCACGGATTCAAACCGGTGGTGATGTGCGGTCTGCAAGAGAGCTGAACAGCATCCTTTTCTTCTTTTTTTTTAGCTGGCAGGCTGGTGTTTTCTTGGGAAGTGATAAGCAAGAAGCATAAGGGTTTGCGTCAAGCTACAGCTTGGGCTGTCAACATGAGGCATGTTTTGTAGCATTTGAGACCATCCATAATGCATCGGAAATAAAGCAAAGACGGCGGGACGCTTGCTAAGGGGAGTGGTTTAAGGTCGCCTATAAAGTACTTCCTGGTAACGCTGATGCATTGTATACGAAATAGCCCATGGACATGGATGGTGTTTTCTGTGTCCTACCAGACGGATGGACCACCGCATACTCTTTGATTTCTGAGCATAGACGTGAATAGTCTCGACTGCTGGGCGCCGATTAGTATAAAACATGATGAAGACAGCGTTTCAGTGACCATAACTCTGATTTGTGTAGTTCTGTGTAGAAGATACCTCTCGTGGCGCGTGACAAGCGAAATTATTCCATGCATGAATGTTATTACCGTGAATAGGATGCCAAAACATAGCGGAATAGACCCCATGGTGCTTAACAGCACATCTTATCACTGGTTGGCACGCTCCATTATCATTCTGACTACCTGGAGCAGCATTGCACTGGCAGTGTGTCCGAATGATGCATGAGAGTTTAACGGCTTCCGGATGATAACTGAAAAAAACAACTGGCATTGCCCCCCCCCCCCCTCACACACACACACACACAAAACACCACCACCACCTCAAGAGGACAATTCGGATTACGTGTCTGCGCTAATTGAAATCCACTTCCTGGTGTTGAGACGCGAGTCCGCGTTAGGTCGTTGGTGTCGGAGCACGGACGCCGTCTTCAAGCAGCGAGGCAAGCGAAAACCTCCCGTACCATACCAATCATAAAAGTTTGTCACGGGATATCATCTGTACAATTCAAGAACGATTTTCTTGTGAGCTCCCCTCATATTCACCTTTTACATCGGAACTCCATGAGCATCACACTAAATCGATGGGGGTAACGCGTTTACTGGTGAGTGGTGCTTGAAGTGGATGTGAAGTGCGCTCGTACGCGGACACTTAAAGCTATGGAGGCGTTTTCGGTTTCGTTTATTGTTCTCCCATCAACTCTTCGTGGCTTAGACATGATTCACATCTTCCTGCATACCAAGCACCAGCTAAAGTCCCGAATATTTGCAACGCCCCTGACTCTGAGCTAACGACGCCAGCGCGCGCCAATTCCCCTCCAAGATGAAGTCCAAGCAGGAAGGCTCCAACAGAACTTAAGGCTTGATGATTTTAAATAAGTGCGAAGTGCCAACCTTTATTCGACGCTTTAGCGCAGTGGTGCTGCCTCTGAATTTGTTTACTTCTCCGTCTTGTATGGAGGACTTGGGCGATTACTGTAATGTGACCGCGCTTATCTTTACAGCACCGTGTATGATGTCGGGTCTGAGCGGCTTGCAAGCAAGAAGTGCACGCTTCAGAATAGGAAGGCATGTCGACTTCAGCAAGCCTAACAAAATATACAGAGCGTCGACGATAATTTCAACAGATAGTGACTCTCGGCCACGGTAGCAGCCGGCTCACTCCCATTTTAGTCCTATTTCGTAAATTATATACGTGACTGAAAATAGAAATATATGTATATAACATGAGTTAAAATATGACTGATGCACAACTATTTTGGCTATACTGCGACCGAGATGACTTGTCATCGCTCTGTATCGCTCCGTTTGAACTCATTCAGAGCCGCCCAGTGACCTTGTCACGACGGGTCGGCCCGTCCGTAGTCCCCGCCACCACCTGTCCAGCCCAGCGCGCCGCTGGGTGGGGCTGTGGCACCTGGGGCCGTCCCGGGCCCCATCTCCAGCTGGGCGGCTCCATGCCCCGCCCCAGCTGGAGAGGGCCGGTAAATCCGCGGCGGGCCGACAGCCGACCCGGGAAGAATGCGAGGGGCGGCCCACCCCTCCATTACGCGCCGGCCGGCCCGAACGATCGGCCGTCGCGCCGCCGGCCACTCTCCTCCGCCGGACGCCGCTCTCCCGCCGCTCTCCCCGCCGGACGCCGCTCTTCTCCGCCGGACGCCGCCGGACGCCGCTCTCCCCCGCCGGACGCCGCTCTCCTCCACCGGACGCCGCTATCCCCCGCCGGACGCCGCTCTCCTCTTCCGGACGCCACTCTCCCCCGCCCGACGCCGCTCTTCTCCGCCGGACGCCGCTCTTCTCCGCCGGACGCCGCTCTCCTCCGCCGGACGCCACTCTCCTCTGCCGGACGCCGCTCTCCTCCGCCGGGACGCCGCTCTCCCCCGCCGGACGCCGCTCTCCTCCGTCGGACGCCCCTCTCCTCGCTCCTCCTAAGCCGATCTGACGTGGGGTCGCCATGACGCCCGTATTCGCAATCATTTGCAATTTGATTGCACGCGTTGCATTGTGTTGGACGAGCTCAGACGTATTCGAACCGAGTCTTTTATGCGATCGTTCCCCGGCCCGCACACGCTATTGGGTGTTGTTTCCCACTTATCCTCGACTTGATTGCGTTAAGCTCCCATTCGAATGTTGTTTATCGTGCGCCGACACGACGCGCTCCCCTATGGTTTCTAAGTTGATTGATTCCGAGCGAGCATCTTCTCATCGTTAAAAATTTCACCTACAGCTTTCGGCTCACTGGAGGAAAGGCGTGACGAAAAGGTTACGTTGGGGACAACTGTATATTGTATATGCATGAAGGAAAATGCTTCACATTGTAGATATTGAAGCAAGCATCAGATGGAATGAAGCAAGCTCACTTATAACTTTTGGTGTGCTTTTTAAGTGGAAAAGACTGCTCCCGACAGCGAAGATCTCTGTTGAGTAAATGTGCGCCTCAATGCGCCATGGTTTGATTACGTCATCGCACCTTGTATAACATTGATTGAGAGCGAGTTGAAGGCCGTTATAACTGTAAATGACGCTCACGAACGCCGGTTGTGATTGCATCCACAA